CTACGTTTAAAGAGGGACACAGTATTGTTTCATCCAGACTTTGTTCTTGAAAGCTCCTCTCATGGAGTAATAAATTATGACACCTCTCATTTTTATACGGGTAAATTAAAAGGTAAGCGTTGCAAGATGCATGTCTGTGGTGAATTTCATATAGTTATATAATTGTTCTAGCCATCTTGAATGTAGTATTTACAGGTTATTGACTTATCCCGGCGTCAATAACTCGAACAAAAGTACCTGTGGACCTTCACCAAGGTCACATCTGTTAGTGAATAAACCTTGGCCTGTGGCTTTGCCTTCCTCTTTGAATCAGTTATGCCATTTTGTAGCCACATGTCTGAAAGGTGGAATATGATTTTATAACGTTTATATGATGCAGTATTAGTGACATGTAATATATTTTTCATATTACACCTTCTGAGCGTCATTTCTGATTGGTCTTTGCACCCAATTTGAAATTATCACATCACCAACCTGCCATTTCCTAAAATCCAAAACATAACTTGTTTAGTGACTAGAAAAGTTAATTTTGTGATAGCTATTTGAAATCAAACTGAATGTTCTTATATATATACCACTAGTTTCATACATTCACCAATATGCATTTTCATTTTGCTGTTGCATTTGAGAATTTCATTGTTTCTAATTCTCTCAATGCACAGGATTCTTTGTCTCCACTGTACCACATCTAATGCTTGCTGATCTAATGTTAAGATGCGTAAATACGACCTAGCCCACAATTTTGTCAAAATGTTGTCAGTGTCTGTAACCGTAAATACATTAATGGTTCCAAAAATAAATTATCAGATTGATTGCAGCTGCAGTGCAATGTTTGAGGAACGTCATGCCAGTATGCAAAAAAACATACAAACAAACAAATGATGATGATGCACATATCTTAGTTTTCGCTGGCGAAAACAGCTGGTAATGCATACTGTAAGCCTTTAAGATTAGGCAGATTGTAGACCTTCTATCGTAAAACCAATATTCAGTGTCCATAAATAATTATGTATGTATTGTTTTATTTTACTAGATGAGCCAAGCAGCCATATACATGGTTCAATATTAGATGGTCTATTTGAGGGCAAGGTCTATACTGGAAGACATCAGTATTACATAGAACCAGCAAGTCGGTATGGAGAAGAAAGCAAAGAGTTCCACTCCATAATATATGAAGATGATGATGTAGACTATCCACACAAGTACGGCCATGGATGTGGACTGAAAGATTCCACAGCAAACTGGATGAAAGAGATTCAAAAATCTGGTATAGACGATTACAAACAAGGGGTGTGTACATTTTCTCTATAGCAGAAGTACTCTTTTTTTTTTTTTTTTCATGGTAGAGGCATATGTAAACAACTTACTTTGGTATTTAAGAATGGACTTTAAAAATATGAACAATATCAAAACAATTTATATTGCCCAGTGAGAGATACTGAATGACAAAATGCTACTGAAAACCGAGGGTAAGCATACTTGGTTTCATGTAAACAGTGACTTCACAGAGATCATTTTGGATTGAAAATTGATGAAATGCATTTAATTGAGGTTCATGTCAAAACTCATTCAGGGTACTCATTCACCATGCATCCATCCAAACAGAAATACATTACCTGATTTGACTTTGCGCCTTTTTTTTTTATTTTGCGAGAGATGAATTGTCACAGATTAAGCAAGTTTGGGCTAATTGTGAAATGTTATCTTTACGACCTTTCAAAATGCAGATGTTGAATACCGTCAAATTTCCGGGTAACACGAATTTTATGTCATTGTACCGGTATATAATTATTAAATTTATGGGCTTTTAACAACTCCAAAATTTCAACCATATTTAAATAGTTTTAAAAAATGGATGAGTTTTTGTAATACCAAAATTTTATTTAATTTTTAGAGTAAACATCAATGAATACAGGGTGCATTATTTGTTGTCAGACTGGCAACATTTCCATCAAAACACAATCGCGATTTTTTTCATGGCCAAAACAAAATGACTTAAAAGTTTATTGCATGAAATATTTTACAGCTGTTGTCATCATGGAAGCTGTTAAAATAATTTCAATACTCATTATACCTTTTGAAAAGATGTGCTACTCACTTCTTTGAAAAGATCATACAGTGAAATCAATACAAACGGTTCACATGTCTTTATATGAAAAAATAATGAAATTTACCTTCACAATGCTTTGTTTGAGATCACCAATATTCAAAAGATGTCTACAACTCGTTGCAATACCACATTGTATTTTGATTGGTTACTGGCATTCTTGACATATAAGGTCAAAGTACATAGCAGCAGGTAAACTCGCGCTCAAGAAAACATGGCAAATTGCATGTCTTAAAATATCCACTCCTAATAAACCAAACTTGAAATTTACATTTATTTCATAGTAAACCAACTAAACGAAACAACATTTTTTGTATGTTGCCATATGGCAAACTTGATGCAGCATAACGGATACGTGTATCTATAAATAATAGCCAGTATGAGTGTGGAATGTTGGGATACTTTTGTAATGTTTTGCTCGAAATTTCATATCCTCAAGAAATTCATATTTGGCTCTGAGAGGGATTGTACCATGAAATGAGAATTCTAATAATTGCAAGATAAACAATCTTCACACATGTCCTCATCAATACTGTGTTTCATTCCTTCCCCCAAATTGGGAGAACAGCCTTTAATTAATAGATTAATAGTGGTGAACAATGCAACCATACACAATGCACTCCTTCTGATGAGTATTGGAAAATCGCCACTAATTAGTCATGAAATCCAAGTGCGAAAAAAAAATGTAAAAATACTCCTGTTAATAGAGGGATCAAAATAAACAATAGTAGTCTATTTGAGCAAATGCTGGCCAGTGAGGGCACTCTTCATCAATGTCCATATCTGTTCTGTTATAGCATGGAGGTTACCTCCATGGTTATAGTATAGTATAGTATAGTATACAACCAGTACCGTATGCTGGTAAAGTTTCTTACTCCAGCAATTATTAGAGCACAAAATGGGTACAATGTCAAAATACAATAAATTAAATCTGTGATACATTTTTCAGAACCCTCATTCATACTAAACAAACTGTTATAACAGAAGCCAGTCTGACAATGTCAATAAAATCACCTGTCATTACACAAAATAGTTTTAAAAACATGACTATAGTATCGCATTTGCTCAGTTACAGGTACAATATTTTGTGGGAAAGAATTTGATTTAGAAAATATCCAAATGGAAAGCAGCTCAAATTTCTCTAGAACATGTATTGTATCCCTTTCATTTGTTTGTGATTGCAACGCAATTTATGGGTGTGACATTCACCCCAAGTTTATTCAACCAGTTTCAACCAGTGTATTGGTGAAATGAATTTATCTCTGAATTTGTTCACTTTATACATACTTGACACTACCTACTACCAGTTGCAAGTTGTAGTTGTGAGATTGTTATTGGGTTACATTCTCACTAAGAGTGGTCTAGTGGATTTGGTTTCTTTGTGATCACAATTTGTTTCTGTAGGGTTTATTAGCTGTTCGGTAGATTTCTGGATTTATTCACACGACTTGAACTTTCAGTTTCATGCTTGTAGTACTTGATCTCCACAAAATCATTGGGCCTGATGGATCTTTGTGATATCGTTCTTCTCTCTGTCAGCACTGTTATACATAGTTGGCTGTTCCACTATTAGTTTTTTGTCTTTAGAAAGGTGAGAACATTTGAACAATAGGATTATAATCATGAACAATAAGCGCCCGCTAATCCCCGGAAACGTGCCAGTGTTGACGAGAACCCTCGGCCGGTCAAGGAGCTTCTGCCGACTTCCCGGGTGTTGTCGGAGCACCGCGGGAAACCGCCCAGTTTGATTTCGGTCACTTCCCTAAAACACAGCAAGTTTCATAAAACACACAGCTGGTATGACACTCAGGCTTTCTCAGGTTGAACTCCCTTTTATTTTCTGCTTGTGGCAGACTTCGTCATCACAAATATGTGGATGCTACATATTTTCTGAATAATCTAATAACCAAGGATGTTTGCTCTAATTTATTAAAGCCTAAATTAGTATTGAACAATAGGTCCAGGAAGAAAAACTATGATGGAGAATCAAAAGACGCACATTTCTCTGATCTGTTGAAAAATCTATAAAATAATTAGGTTGTTGAATTTTTAGATGACGGCGAGTTTTTACAGTACATAATGTTCCTGCTTTCATATTCTTTAAAGTAACATTTCACCTTCTGTTGCAGGTTTCATCTCTTTCAGCTGAAGACGAACACCACCACCAGGAGTACAATAAATACAGTGAGTCTTTCAATCGTAAGAAAAGAGCTACAGATGACAAGAATACCTGTACCTTGTACATCCAAGCGGATCACCTATACACGGCAGCTTTTCTCAACCAAGACCAAGTAGTGTCCCAGATTGCCAGCCATGTTAGTGCTGCTAATGCCATCTATCAGAAAGTATATTTTGGTGACTATGTTGGTATCTCATTTGTAGTGGCGAGAATCAAGGTGAGAGTAATTGTTATGGTTTAAAGTCAGTACCGGGTAATGTAAATGCTGAGATTCAAGTTTAAATCGAGTTAAATTGGAAAAACATGGAGCTATTGTCTCCCATGCACAATAAAATAGCATTTTTTTGTGTGTTACAGGGAAATTTTTTACAAAAATCACCATTTTTTGAACAATTCCATAGAGCATACTTTTAAAGAATAATTGCATTTTTCTACACTTTTTAAATTCCAGCTATTTTAAATAATTCAGGACAACATAAAGTACCCCATCATTAACAATATATAAATTTTTCACTACGGTACAGTACATGTATATGTCACCAGCCTACACTTTGAGATATATCATACATTTTTTTTCATAGGAACCCTAGGTAAAAGTGTAATAATACTGACAAAATAGCCACTATCCACTAAAATACAACTACATGTATAATTTTCTCTAAAATTAGGCTGGTGACCCCCCAACTTTTTTAAGTCAATATCCTTGCATTGCCTCGGAGTACAATTTATTGCAAAATAAATTTCGAGTATTCGCATTCATAAGTAGGCTTCTACATGTACCTTAAGTTAAGTTATGTGATGTCAGAGGTAGCTTCATG